GCTGATAGAATCAGGATTTGGCCAGCTAGCATGTTAGAGCCAAAGCCCAAAGATCATGGTGGAGCTGAAATTCAGGTATTCGTATGAATGGATATGAATGGTATTTATCATACCTAACGAAACTGTTTTTTTAGTAATATAATGGTATTCAGTATGTGTTTTCCTTTGATCAGGGAATATGTTTTATCTGACCCAGGTTGGAGACGGTTTGATTGCAGAAACTCCGCAGAAACTCCGGGTGTTTGACCGGCATTGGGCCAGCTTTTGGCCGATGTTGCCTCGCCCCAGACACATGTCTATACGTCAGCTGGCAGGCCCAGAGGACTGAGGTGCAACACGAGGTGCCACGAGGTGACTCGCTTGATGTCGCGGATCTTCTTCACGACGTGGTTGTCCCTCCCTTTGTCTCGATGGGTTCAGAGTGGGTCTCAACCCATGACCCCCAAAACCGTCCCGGTCGGGCCCCGGTCGGAGTCGGAGTCGGAGTCCGTAGGGTCCGATCTCGTTGAAGCAGCGGATCAAGGCAGGCACAGGCGCCGGCAGGCACGCTTTATGCCTGGCCTTGTGTTGGCATCGTGTTGGCATCGATGGGCTTTAATGGCCTTTGGACCCATGACAATGGCCCTTTGATGAAATTTTCGGGGGGGTTGTTGATCATGTTATCCGTCCGTTGGTACTGAGTGGTCGTTGGTAGTCCTCTGCCGGGCAGAGGTTCCAAGCACTTGAATCCCAAATCCTGAGGTCCTCATCATCGACTGTGGGTGCTTTCAGAGGTCACCGAGTCACGCATAGATGTGAGTCTCTGACATCTTTAGACATCTTCAGACCTGCTCCCCTATAGAGTCCGGACTTTGGGCTCCAAAAAGAATGCAATTCCACGGGAGTCACGGGGTGGGTTAGATGGTTGGTTCGTCCCATCCAGGGGCCGTGGATGTGACAGGGGCACCCCACTCCGACCTCCGTTCGTTCGGCATCCCCTGATTTCGTGAGTCGACAGTTGACCCGACACGAAGTCGTTTGAGGCTAGTTGAGAGTCGACACAGGTGTCGACGGTGGTCGACCGAGCTGGTGGAGTGAACTCCCACCTGTTTTTGTTGTGGAGCATGTTCATCCGAATCTCGGGGGCGACGTAACATCCACTGGCCACGATGGTTTCAAGACCTGATAATACTGGTAAACGTCAAACGTGGTGGTGGTTGACATGAAACCTCGGAGTGGTGAGACTGCTGATCCTTTCCCAAGCTGGTCAACCCCAACAAGTCTTCGATCCAGCTGCCAGCCAGTTTTTGACCACATAGTTGAAAGGGGAACCTTCCCGGCAGATCGATTGTGCTCGTAGGCCCTGTCACAGGGAAGACCAAAGAGGTCTAACTCCTAGGCTCCTGTCCTACATCCTCAGAAGGTGGTTGGGGTGGCAGGGGGGTCTAACTACCTTGTCAGTATGTGGGACAGGAGATTTAGGGCATAAAGAATCCAAAGACAGAAACGTGAACCTGTTGAAGAGAGGAATGACACTCCGAGGAAAGCTGGAAGTGGAGTTCGCCACCTGTTTGTGGAGAAAGATGGTCATCCAAAAAGAGCTATTTATTTTTACTTTTCCACTGCCAGGATGAGGGTATGAGGAATTGTTGGACATCAAGACCATTCTCTTTATGCTTGACCGCAGCCCCACAAGTGGTTTTCACCAAGAACAAGCAGCTTGCAAAGCGATCTTGGAGCCGCGGCTTTTCCCATATGGATGTGGATCAAAAACTAAGACTGGTCTTCACCCAACAGGTCAAGGTTTGCTCTCCTTCTACCAGTGAGGCCCTGGGCAGCCTGAGTAGCCAACATGTCCTGAAAATTTGAGCCCTAATCCACATCAAGAAGCCTTCACTGACCTGTTTTGTTTTGCACTCACTTTTTTGGCGCATCCTTGTGCTCTTGATGAATGCCTGCACAAAACAGAGACCACCTCTGGGTCTGAGTACCTTCGTCACCTTTAAGATTAATGGCCATCCATACAAAATCAAGTTTGCCTACATAATTTCGTGGGGGCTCATATAGCGAATGAGTTCTTCCATAGACCCTACTTGTACCGGTCAGTTGGACCTCATCATGTTCGCGTTGATAACAAAAAACACAAACAAACACGAAGCGTCCCGTTGAGAAAACGCGTCCGAGCACACACTACACGAGGTCCGAGCACTACACACAGCTGTTCGACTCACTTTGCGTCTCAGCTTTTCAGAAGGTTCATGGACCAGTACGGATCTAAGTGACGCACCCGCTCGCGAGGACCTAGCGCTTCGCCCGCCAGGGTCCCCCAGGGGTGGGCAGCCTGGTCAGGGAGCACAACAAGAATGCAGTTAGCAACCACCTAGCGATGGCCTCCAACCTAATAGCGATGGCCTCCAACCTAATAGCG